CACAAAAAAGAGTGGAAAACACGCCTGGTAGCGTGACCCGTAGAATTTCTCGCTTTGAAAGCCGTGAGCATCTCCTCCAATCGTGCTGCGCGCCGACTGCATCATCCTTTTCATTCCTCACGTTTTTTTATCTGGGGGGAAACACCGAGGGGGCTCGTTCGATCGATTTTATTGGACGCGAGCAACAAAACGAGCGGTGGTCAGTGTCCGCCTTTTGTATCGATATGTGCGTATGCAGACGTTTTTCCTTTTTCACTCACCCGTTCCCCGGGATCTCATTTTCGGTGCATTCAATGTGAAGTTTTTGTGAAGTTTATTGGGTTATAGATCACCTCGATGGGGAGAATGTGCGTTGGTCTCTTCTGGTTGCTGAGAATTTTTCATTCTTCTTTCAACTTGAGAATTTTTCAAGAGAATCCGTCAAATGTCCAATTTTTGGGAATTTCTCACGCATAAATTTTCAGAGCGTTTTCCCACTGTATTTTTTTCCGTATGGGGGAACGTCACAGGAAGAACTTGGAAAAATTCATGTCCAAGAATTTGTACAGGGAATATCGCAATGAAAAGAGGAGTACAAGCACATCAACGTCTTTTGACTTTTTTTGACAAATATCTGTTTGACACATGAGGGAAAATCACACAATTTTCAGCGGAAATTGACAAAGGGCCGGTAGCACACGTATGAAAAAATCGGGTAGAAATTTTCTGTCTCTTCTGTTTGCTGAGAATTTTTCAAGAGAATTCGTCAAATGTCCAATTTTTGGGGATTTCTCACGCATAAATTTTCAGAGTGTTTTCCCACTGTATTTTTTTCCGTATGAGGAAACGTCACAGGAAGAACTTGGAAAAATTCATGTCCAAGAATTTGTACAGGGAATATCGCAATGAAAAGAGGAGTACAAGCACATCAACGTCGTTTGACTTTTTTAAACAAATATCTGTTTGACACATGAGGGAAAATCACACAATTTTCAGCGAAAATTGACAAAGGGCCGGTAGCACACGTATGAAAAAATCGTGTAGAAATTTTCTGTCTCTTCTGTTTGCTGAGAATTTTTCATTCTTCCTTCAACTTGAGAATTTTTCAAGAGAATTCGTCAAATGTCCAATTTTTGGGGATTTCTCACGCATAAATTTTCAAAGCGTTTTCCCACTGTATTTTTTTCCGTATGAGGGAACGTCACAGGAAGAACTTGGAAAAATTCATGTCCAAGAATTTGTGCAGGGAATATCGCAATGAAAAGAGGAGTACAAGCACATCAACGTCTTTTGACTTTTTTTGACAAATATCTGTTTGACAAATGAGAGAAAGCACACAATTTTCAGCGAAAATTGACAAAGGGTCGGTAGCACAAGTATGAAAAAATCGTGTAGAAATTTTCTGTCTCTTCTGTTTGCTGAGAATTTTTCATTTTTCCTTCAACTTGAGAATTTTTCAAGAGAATTCGTCAAATGTCCAATTTTTGGGGATTTCTCACGCATAAATTTTCAGAGCGTTTTCCCACTGTATTTTTTTCCGTATGAGGAAACGTCACAGGAAGAACTTGGAAAAATTCATGTCCAAGAATTTGTACAGGGAATATCGCAATGAAAAGAGGAGTACAAGCACATCAACGTCTTTTGACTTTTTTTGACAAATATCTGTTTGACACATGAGGGAAAATCACACAATTTTCAGCGGAAATTGACAAAGGGCCGGTAGCACGCGTATGAAAAAATCGGGTAGAAATTTTCTATACGGATTGCGTATAGAATTTCTATAGGATTTTCCTATATGATATTCGGATATTTCTATACGGATATTTTTTATACAAATTATTTCGGTCGGGAATATCGACTAAATATTAATAAATACTAATAATTAGTGGTATTATTGGAAAATAGTGATGATACGGATTATTTTTGTTTATTCCGATACTGAACTGGAGATTTTCCGAACGGGACTTGGAACAGCCGGTTCTTAGTAATTTTTTGGCCCGGTTGTACCAAAATAAATCGTTAGAATAAATTCATGTCTGTAGAGTGCTTTACTTCAGCCATTCGGTCGGAAATATCGACTAAATAATTTATAATTAGTAGTTTCATTGGCAAATAGATGACAAATAGATGAAATACCTTCAATAGATTTTCGAAGTTGAAAGTCATCTCCTAAAATCTGATTTCTAACAAATCAGGAATCGCACCCAAACGAATGACTCATTCAAATCGAGTAGTTTCTTATTATTTTATTCATTTCAAAAATTTTTTGTTGGAAATTAATAAACTCATATGTTCAATATATAATAAATAATTCATCCCAATGAAATACTTCGTCAGAGTAGATTGTCTTCATTTCATCAAAATGAAAAATGATAACATGTCAATAAATTCGTTCCTTAAATAAAAAATTTAAAAAAATCGTTGCCGTTGCCTGTCAAAAAATACTGTCATTTCCAACTACCATAAAGCCTTTATTTGAATCAAGAAAAGGTTCGTTTATCTTTTAAAAAACTATGAATTCGATGTAAATAAAATCTTTATTTCGAGTTATTTAAATAAGTTCATTTATTTAATTAAAAAGAATTTTATTCAATTGAATTCATCCGTCTCTCTAAGCGAACATCTGTCCTCAGCCTGCGATGAAAAAAATAGGGAAAATCCTTGAAGAAATAAATATGGCACGTGAAGCCCAGGAGAGAATCCCAAACTTTTGATCTCACTCGTGACTCTGTTCCCAATAGTTTCCAGCATCCGAGGAAAGAAGTCATCGTCAGAGTTCGGCGCCAGCTCCGTGTAAAAGTTGCCCTGGGGGTATGAAAGAAAGAAATGAGGAGCAGAGAGGGAGACAGACACATTGGAACGGTTGGGGAGGGTGGGGTGGGGTGGCTGGTGCCCGCGAGTCGTTGGAAGATTCGAAGGGTGGGTTCGGTTACGTACAAGAGGACGGATGGGGGAAAATGGTGGTTGGACATCGATCTGGTAGTTAACTCGAGGGCACCCGGGGGACTCGTTGCCACCGATTTCACCAGCCATGTCCCGCACTATCTATAGGATTCACTACCGACAAACGTTTTATCCCCGGTACTCACATAAACCGCATTACCACACGTTTTTATCCTGGTATTTATGTAACATCTAACGAGCTGTTTCTATGGGTTTCAGGAGTTGTGTCTACATTTGGGTGAATATTTTACACGCACGGAGAGAAATGTTCAGTAAAAATTATGGAACTCACAAGTCACCTACCGATTATGGAATCCACTCAGAAAATTTAAATGACGGTATCGTAATTTTTCGCAGGAGATTCAGATAAAAATTACGAAACGCTCTGGAAAAATTCCGTGACAGTTCCGTAAAATTTTCTACAACCACATTTCGAATATTTCTCTCCGTGCGCCTGTTTATTCGAAAAATAGGAGTTTATCATAGAATTCGGGAGGCGATTGATGTTAATCACTTTTGTTATAATTGGGAATGATTGATTAAGATTTCAGTAGCGAAGCGGTCAAACGGTTTAAGTCGATTTTGGCTATTGGCCAGTTTTCAATGAATATCTCGGAATCTAAAGGAGATATGTAAATTTTTCTAATAACATTTTTAGTAGCACTCAATTCGCACTACAAAAAAGGTTATTATGAAAATTTCGCAATCTTCCTCAAATTCGGAAATATTTTTGGAAAACTCAACTAAAGACTAAATTTACTTAAACCGTTTGGCCACTTCGTTACTGCTTTATAAACACACGTATAAATTTAATCGAAAATTAATTCAGTAGCGAAGTGGTGAATCGATTCAAGTCGATTTGGCCCTTAGCTGAGTTTTTCGAGGAATATCTCCGAATCTAGGGGAGATTACAAAATTTTTATAACTGTCTTTTTTGTAGAGCGAATTGAGGGCTACAAAAAGGGTTATGTCAAAAATTTTGCCATCTCCCTCAGATATCGAGATATTCATTGAAAACTGGCCAATAGTCAGCATCGACTTCAGGATATCCACTTTGGCTATTTTTTCTCCAGTAAAATGTTTTTCTACTTTTGTAGTCGAACATTAGAGCTTTCATTTTAGTTTCATTTGAGCCTAAGTTTCCGGACATTTTATAATGATTTTATTGTTTAAACTTTGCAGGTCTGAATTCGAATTTCAATATTGAACCGTTAGAAAACATTTTAAAACTTTGAAAAAAATTACAAAGTTTACTTTTCGAGGAAGATTGATGAAATAATTTAAGAAGTGCAATTTTTGAAAATGACGAGCATTTTCTGTAAATAATTTATAAACAATCAATTTGTTTACCATAAAAATCATTTGTTCGAAATCGTAACAAATTTATTCATATACAGAATTTTACGAGAAATCGATTTCATGCCTAAAAAAGGAGGTTTGCGAAAGTTTAATAATTCCCCTTTTAATGGAACAATTTTTATCTGAAGAAGAATTCAAATTAAAAATTTTTAACTTTTCTAATTTGAATTGGATTCTTTTTTCATTTTAAAAACCGATAAATAAATAAATGCCTTTAAACTCCTCGCGCCCAAGGAAATCCTTCGGACAAATCTGCGAAACCGTTGACTCTGGAGTCGTTTGTTCCCCTTTTGAATGGAAGAATTTTATTTGAACAAGAATGAAAAAAAAGACAAGGCCGTAGTTCTCAAAACCCATTCTAACACCTCCTTCTCCGTCGGATAACTAAAGAAAATGTTGAAACAACTTCACGTGGGATTACGTCTGACGTTAGACGACGCGTAACTACTTGACTCGTGATATCAGAATGATTTACACCCTCCGCACTCTACATTTTTTATCCCAAAACCCACACAAAGCGAGAAAAAAACTGGGTGAAAGGCAGATTAGACCAAAAACTGATAATAATTTCTCATTAATTTCAAGACGATATATTTGCCAGAACTTAAAATTCAAATCACAAATTTTTCATTTACACGTAACTAAAAAATACTCCTAGGGCACTTAATAATTACTAATAAATGCGTGTTGTTTTTTCAATAACTTACGACAGAAACACCTGACGTTTATCTGATTTATTTACAGGTTTACACAAGCACAGAATAACCCTCAATGCTCGCTCTACAGAGTAATTTGTTGTTCAAAGATTTTCAATAATACAAAACGATGATTAATACCGCATTCTTTAATTACCAACTAATTAAGTTTAAATTTTCTGTTAATTGTTTATTTTAAATTTTAATTGAACTCAAGGCACACGACTCCACTATAGCTTTCCTCATGCTCACTCTTATCCACTAAACACTTAACAACGTCTATGTTACACTGTTTATCGTACGCATAAGTTTCCTTTATTACGGGACATAATAATACGTATACAATCGCATCCGAGATTATTCTCATCAAACTGTTTTAAGGCATATGTGCATTACGTACTTTAGTTATTAATATATTACAGGAAAAATGGGCTAGGGCTGGGCGAGAGACAGCTGAGGGGCTTTGAGTGATTGAGAAAAAATTAATTAATCAGTTGATTGTAGAATTAACCAGTTGAGTAATTAATTGACCGATCTCATTTTAAGTCTTGGCATATCAAAATTTTTATGGGGACCATTCCTCTAGAAACAGCGCTCTATAAAAATGTCGAGATATTTCCCAAAAACTATTTCGTCTCACCACATGTCCGCTGAAGCTAATGAGTGTTTTTTCTAATTTTTTTTTCGACTCATTTTACGATTAATTGTTTTAAATGACTGAGGAAAAATTAATTGATCTATTTTTTTGGAGAATTAATCAGTTGAGTAATCAATTCATTAATTAGTTCAGCATCAAAGGGGCGAAACAAAATGCATCAATTTTATTACAAGTCTTCGGGACGATTCCTCTTGAAAAAGGGCTCTATAAAAATGTCGAGATGTTTCCCAAAAATTATTTTGTCTCACCACATGTCCGCTGAATCTAATGAGTGATTTTTTTACGATTTCTTCGACTAATTTTACGATTAAGTGTTTTAAGTGATTGAGAAAAAAATAATTAATGTTGTTTGGAGAATTAATCAGTTGAGTAATCAATTCATTAATTAATTCAGCATCAAGGGGGTGAAACAAAATGTATCAATTTTATCCCAAGTCTTCGACATATCAAAATTTTCACAGGATCCATTCTTCCAGAAAAAGGGAAGGCTACAAAAAAAAACTGTAAAAATTCCAAGATATTTTCCAAAAATGGTTTTCTAACCACTTGCCCGCGGGATCTAATGAGTGATTTTTCTGGAAATTTCTTTCGATTGATTTTACTTTGATTCTAATTTTAATGAAATATAATATTTTAATTTTTTACTAATTTTAATTGTTTCGAGTAATTGAGAAGCAAATAATTGATGTACTGATTCAAGACTTAATTAAGTCATCAATTAATTACTCAATTAATCCATCATCAAAGGGGTGAAACAAAATGCATCAGTTTTATTCCAAGTTTTTGGCGTATCAAAGTTTTCATAGGGTCCATTTTTCCAGAAAAGGGAAGGCTAGAAAAAAGAACTCTATAAAAATTCCAAGATATTTCCCGAAAATTGTTTTGTCTCACCACTTGTCCGCTGAATCCATTGAGTGATTTTTGTAGGATTTTTTTACAACTAATTTTACTTTAATTACTAATTTGAATTGTTTCGAGTGAGTGAGAAACAATTAATATATCTATTGATTCAAGAATTAATTAGTTAAGTAATCAATTCATTAATTAATTCAGCATCGAAGGGGTGGAACAAAATGCATCAATTGTATTCCAAGTCTTTGGCACATCAAAATTTTTATAGGGACCTAAGAATTCTTCTAGAGAAAAGCGAGGGCTGTAAAAAAAGCTCCATAAAAATTCCGAGATATTCCCAAAAACTGTTTCGTTTCATCGCGCGTTCGCTGGATCTAATGAATGATTTTGTTAACGATTTCCTCGTCCGTCGGATGTCTCACGCCCCTTCCACTGCGCGACTGCGTTTCAATTAATACTAAAAAAAATCTCTTACGATTAACACAACCGTGAATAACATTTTTTAACGCCTATGTAATAGGGCCAAAGATACTCAGGTGTGAAATTATTTTCATGGATTATGATTTTCATCCTGATTTAACTGTCACTGTATTTTTATAATTTTCTTATGGGGAAAAATTCACGCTTGTGATGCTCTATTTGTAGTACCTGCTCGATATTTTGCGCTGGGAAATCGATCTAGAGTACAACTCTGCCTAAAAATCACAAACAAAAATGCGGAAAAGAACATTCTAAAATCACTGATTTTAAGGATACATTTTTGCCCCACATTTGTTGATTTTCCTCGTCATAAAATTGAAGAAACGAAGGTTCCATACTCAAACCCATCATTTTTCAAATTTACTCGTCCCATGGATTGCGCCCGCGCAAAAATAATTCGTTAGGCATCTGGTAAAAATTGAATTAATATATTAAAACTATAAGTTAAAAAACGATAGAAACTCGTGATCCAATAAAATAATTTCAACAGCAATAACTGAGCTCAATAATACTAACGGTTATAATAAATTTCTTTTCATGCATCCAAAGCAGAAATAATGGAGGGACTCATGTTTGTATAAAAAAATGAAAATAAAATGATCAATGAAATATAATTAGAATCAACAAACAAAACAACGAACCCCTAGGAAGCTTTTCGTTCAAATTATCACGTGAATATCGTGACATTTATGATTTCAAAATACGACTGAATCTATGTACAATTTCGTCAAGCAAATTATTCCGAGTTGTTGCAAGATTTATTTACAAAAAGTTAATCTTCAAGTCGTGGTAAAAGTTTCGAGTCAGTGATTCACATCTGTGCATATTTTCATTGTTGCGGCGCTGCCCAAATCAATGGATCGATACTAACCCAATCAATATCAAGAGAATTATCCTCTTTACGATCGAAAAGTCCTTTGCATGAAAAAAATTTCGTCAGTCGAACATTTTTTCACTGCTTTGATCTACAAAATTGTCTTTTCGCGTTGACAAAGTAATTATAGTGCTTCAGATAATTGTCGATTTGATTGAATATCGATCGATGAATCTCCTCGCGATGTGTTAAAGTCTAACAAATCGCCAGGGGAAAAATGGAATAGTTTTGGAAAATGGAAAATTCAACCGAGGAATAAATCATTTGGATCGAGCGACGCGAGAAATGATTTTATTCGAGGGTAAATTCTCGATGTTTATTGACGATCTAACCACGACTCGGCATTACCAGTGCCTTCAGGTCACAATCCCATGACGGTGTGGGGATGTGGATGCTGGTGGGTATGGAGAGTACTAGGATGACCGAGGCCAAGTGGGGGCGCGAGGGCGAGAGGTGGTGAGCCGCTGTTGTGCATCAGCCCACCTAGCATACCGGTCATTTGGCCAAGTGCCGCCAGACTCGCCATTCCACCGCTCGTGAGGCTCTCGCACTTGATGTCCTTCTGCTCCATCTCCATTCGCTTTTTTCCCTGTTTGCGCTCTTTTGCTCGGCGGTTTTGAAACCATATCTTCACCTGGAATTTATCAATGATTTTCTCGTTTAAGGCACACTGAGAGAAAATCGGCATAATGTGGCAAAATAATTTCTTGAGTGGAGCAGATCGCGTGCTTATTCGATCAATTCATGGTACACTAGAAATTTTCCACTGAAATTTCCGGTAAAATTTTTAATAATGATTTGAACGAGAAATTTGAATGATTATTTCCCCCCTCACACTTCCGAACAATAGAATTGTGGAATCCGACGTCCCGTTGTCCAATCAGAACAGAATTGTATCGATAATACCCCGTCATTCGGTAATTTTACCGTTGCCAAGCAGAATAACAAAAAATTGGTGAATTTACCGCACTGATAGAACGGATTAATTACTGTTAACGAATGGATTTTGGTTGGAGGTTGGGGTCTATTCGCTCCCACCAAATGTTCATTCGTTAATAGTTAACGAATGTATATTTGAGACGCCTTGTTTGACTTGACTTTCGCCATTCAAGTGAACCATTCGTTAACTATTAACGAATATTCATTTGGTCATATTCAACTCCACCGTTCGTTAACAGTTAACGAATCTCGTTTGGAATAAATGAATCATTCTATCAGTGCACGATAACGCCGAATACCACGATTCTATTTATCGAAATGGTGATGGGGGAAATAATGCGCCGAATACCCCTCGAGCTTGAAAATGAATCGCAGTATTTCCCTCAAACTTCCCTGCATACAAACGAATGCGTCAAGTTCGGCAGGAAAAATCCCTCGCGCAAGCGCTCGCGATTTTTTTAACCTGCGAAACTTGACATATTCGTTTGTATGCAACGAAGTTATCGGGAAATACCCGATCATTTTGAAGCTCTCGGGGTATTATAACAGATTATTTAAAAACGAACGAAACGATAAAACTACTCGGAGTTATATTTTTTGCAATTTTCACAAAGAGAAATTTTCTAGAAAAAATCTAGTACGAGTACTGTAAAAAATTACCATCCACCGGCTGTGAAAAATTCTAGTGCTGTTAAGGTAAAATTTCTGGGGATTACTGTGAAATTTTCACAGAAATACGGGGAAAAATTCACGTTGTCCCCAATAAAATTTCTAGTACTGGCACTAGAATTTTTTCCTGGCCGTCACTTTGCGCCTCTTTTCCCGCGCTAACACTAGAATTTTTCTAAAAAAATTCTCTCCGTGTTCCTTTTATCATTCGTGATTATTATACGATATATTCGGTTCGCTACCCTAGTAGAAATTCATTGAAATTCTGCGACATCGCGCCAAAGTGCCTATACTATATAACTATAACATTGAATGTCGCGCGCAAACTCAGGCCGCGACGCGCCAACTCACGCCTTTTGTGCCGAAAATTACTGCGGAGGCCCTTTAAAAATCCAGATTTCTTGATTTCTGTCAGCCGAAAAAATTACAGAATTTTCCTTGACCATGAAAAAATACATCTACCGACAACGTACCGACATTGGCTAAACGTCATTGAAAAATATCATTGAAACTGACCTGTCTTTCAGATAATTGGAGCTTAGCCGCCAGCTCAGCCTTTCTCCTGATGGTAATGTACTTGCTGCTGCAGAACTCGGTCTCCAACTCGAACCTCTGATTGTCGCTGTAAACCACTCGATATTTGTCTTTCGTTCGCGTTTTGCCTGGAACAATGCACAAATCCATTACTCAAAAAAAACTCCCCCGCTCTCTCCACCCCCCACAAATGAACAAAGTCAACGACAAATACTCTGAATCAACAGCCATGCGCTTTCCTCAGAACAAAAATACACTTCTCCAACATGTACGACAACAGCTACATAATACAATTGTATTTCTGCATCGGGCGATATCTGCAAGTTATAACTGTGAGTAAGGAAAAGAAGTTGGATCCTGAGTAACGATAACGCATTATCATAAGATACATGAAAACACACGACGTGCACGTCGTGTTAACTCTCCCGCTAATTAATCTCCACGATAAGCATATCTGCAGCACATCAGACGCATCAACATTTCCTTTACATGCACAATTACCTTTTCAATTAATTTTAGCAACTGAGGGTATTCGAGTGGAGGAATTTCTGTAATGTAATTCACGGATGGAAAATGTCGTGTCGAATATTCCAGGTGAGAATATTTGAAAAATTGCACGGAGAGCAATATTCAGTAAAAATTACGTATCTTTTCCGTAATTCCGGAGCGCAATGTGGTTGAAGGAAATTTTACGGAACTGTCACGGAATTTTTCCAGAGCGTTCCGTAATTTTTACCTGAATCTCCTGTGAAAAATTACGATACCGTCACTTAAATTTTCTGAGTCGATTCCGTAATCGGGGAGCGAACTGTGAGTTCCGTAATTTTTACTGAACATTTCTCTCCGTGTGGCGGTCGAACAGTATTTCTGTAGTGAATTGGTAAACTAGGATAAGTGCATTTCAACTGAGGACAATTATCAAGCGATATCTCGTAAATAAAAACAGATATCGAAATTTTTGTCAGAAACTTTTTTGTAGCCCACATCTCCCCCTACAAAAAAGGTTCTAATAAAAATTTCGATATCTATTTTTATTTACGAGATATCGCTTGATAACTGTCCTCAGTTGAAATGCACTTATCCTAGTTTACCAATTCACTACAGATTTGAAACATTCTTACTTGAAATCCATCCAATATTAGTGAAATGGACCCATTCTTTAATGGGTCACAACATAAATACATAACTGGGTTAAATACATAACTGTTTATGCATAATAACTGTTTATAATGAAAATTCGTTGCAACAATAGCAACCAATATTCATGGAATTGATAGTGGTAAGTTTAGTAAGATTATTCATCCAATAGGTATGAATAAACTCTCAGCCTTTTACATTTTTGCATCCCTCCCAAGAAAGTACAGTGTTAGAAGAGATAATAAAATGGTGGTACACTGAGAAAAAATAATTACTTCTGCCAAGTAAATTTACTTGCCACAAGTAAATGTATATAAATATTTGCATTTGAAATGTGTGTATTTTCTTTTAGTTAGCAAATTTACTTGGCAAAAGTAATTTTTTTTCTCAGTGTAATAACACATCTAGATAATGCATTTAGGTATCTCAATCTTAAAGTTAATGCATTGATAGTAGTATTCATGCCCAAAAATTTATAAATTAAACCAGATGCTCAGAGAGATTGGGAGAAATAGGTACACAACATCGAATTTATTGTCCTAGTGCGACGTTTCGCTAAATATTTTAGCTTCATCGGGCTCTTGACATAATCACGGGGCAATCATTACCAGTAAAATAGAGTAAACACGACAGAATCGAACAAAAATCAAATGACAATGCAGTGACGGCTTGTTCTGGCAGTTATTATTTTCATGGAATTATTCGGGTGAACAATCAGTTGAACTCAAGAGAATTCCTCGGAGAATTGAATAGGCAATTCGTGATGGAGATCTTTGAATTATTGGTGGGATAATTACTCGCTTCGTCTTGACCCAACTGAAGATTCCCAAGAATTAATTCCTAAAGAATATCAACTTCTTCGAAGTTATAATTTTGATTTTTCCATTAACATTTCCTTAATTAATATTCATAATTATTCGATAATTTTAAACGATTAAGGGTATTAAGTAAGGTTTTCAGCAATGGAATTTATTGATCGATCATTTTATTTCAAATATTTCAAAGATTCTTACTTGAAATTTTATAACAATCCATTTTTATGGAATTTTGGTAAATTATTTAATTGAATGATCAGCTGAATCCAAGACAATTCCATGAAAAATCGAATCGTCCGTTCCTGATGGAGATCCTTGAATTATCGATGGAATAAAGAATGCAAGAACCAATCCCTAAAGACCTAATTTGAACTTTTCCATGCATATTTCATGAATATTTCCTTTACATGTACAATTATCGAACGACTCTTAGCAATTGAAGCTACTAAGTAGGGGTTTCAGCAGTGGAATTTACTGAAAATCGTAGCAATATTTAACAACAACCAATTTTTACGCTTGGAGAGAAAAATCAGACGAAAAAAGTACTGTATAATCTAGGCAATTGCCGAGTTAAATTGTATATCAGTATTTTTCAGTTGAAATCGAAGAAAAAATATCGCGCAAATGATAAATTTTCCCCTTAAAATTTTTTCGAACAGTTGGTGGAGAAAATATGAGAAATACGGACTAATTTAATCGCATTTCCTTGCAATTTTTCGTTTATTTTTTGGCTGTCCAAAAAATTGTCTGTTCTTTAAGTTTCTTACGCAGAAAAAAAATACTTCTACTAAGTAAATTGACTTGCCACAAATAAATGTATATAAATATTTGCATTTGAAATGCGAGGATTTTCTTGTAGCCCGTAAATTTACTTGGGAGAAGTAATTTTTTTCTCAGTGAAGATGCTTAACAGATCGATAGAAAAATTCCCCACTTCGTCATACCCCAGCCAAAAATTCCCAAGAGTTAATTACTGAAGAATGTCGAGATCCTCGAAGCTCTAATTTTTGGCACTTAGTCATCCCCAGCGCCTAAAAATGCCACGAGAAATATGTCTCTAAAATAATATGACTCAAAGAATCAATTTTCTGTAGCCTCTCCCAGACGGCAGCGAGCATTAAAAAACCGAACAAGTAATGGTGAGAAAGGTGAGAGAGAAGGAGAGAAAAAGAGTACACGATTAGATAAGAGTAGCGGCGAAAGATCAAAGGCAGAGACGCTAATCCACCACTCCTCGATAAGTTGGAACGCGAGAGAGACCTTCGAAAAATGTCCACGACCGGTGTCTCAAGCGGCTACACGTCAGGTATACCGGAGTGGGAGGCTTCTGGCATTTTTAACAGGATTTTTATGAGTTGCTTACTAAACATGTCAATTAAGCAACATTTTTCTTCAGATTTCTGGTGGATAGGTGATGCGTTCTTTGATGAAGACAGACAGTTGCAAATTATTGGAGCAGGTTTTTTTTCAAAATGACACACTCAGAGGAATTATGCATTCGAACTGAATAAATGGTTTATCTGATTAGCTCGCAATAAAGCTTGTATCCAAAATTGAACTTGTTTGTTATTTGCGTTTTTATTCATATTGGATAAACTGCTCTTTGAAGATAAAGAAATGTTTCCTTGATCCGAATGAAGAGTTTATTGGTTTGAAATAAAATCGTATACATTATTGGTTCTATGTACAATTAAAACATTTTCATTGAGAAGAATTGACGACGTAAATCGAAAAGGTCAAAGCAAAGTATTTTAGTTTATTTAGGTGTGTCTTTCCTCTGCACTGTTAAAAATTATTGTTTGAAATTTCCGGTTCATTTGGAAATTTTTATCGAATTTAATTACCACTGAAATTTCACGGAATTTCGTGGCAAAATCAAAGAAAACTGTCATGTTTTGATGAAAAAAAATCATGAAAGTGGAGATTTCACTGAAGATTCAGTGTAATTTGGCCCTTAATATTCACATTAGATTGGAAATTCAAATAAATTAAGAAATTCTCATTTTTATGCTGCGTAAAATTCTGGAATTTTACTAAATTTCCAGTGAAACCTGAAATTTAATTTTTTTCTAACACTGTGACTTATGAAATTTTATTGGATTTTCCGCTTTTCAATAAAAAATACTACTTCATATAAAAAAATCAACAGATTTTAGTGCATTAAATTGTATACAAAAATGTATTTTAATTACAAAACTATTTTAAGACTTTATTAGTTATACACAACATTATGTAAATTATTGATTCCATCTTTAATTCAAAATTTTCATTGCGGAGAATAAATGAGATGAATGGAAAACTCAAGGTAAAGTGTTTTATTTCATTTACATGCGTCCCTCCTCTGAGTGATTAATAAAATTCTGTTGAGAATCGTCAACTTTTTAATATAAAATGCTACTTCATAAAAAAAATCGAGATTTTGATTTTTCTCTGCAAACAACTTTAGTCTCTCAAATTGTATAAGAATGTATTATTTTTCCTAAAAAATCAACGATAAATTTATCCAGAATTACAAATTGGGAAATTGGAACTTTTCGGATTCTCCCACGAAAAAGCTTATTTTTCTTCAAATAATTGCTAATCCCTAACTATCCTCTATAAACATTGGAAAAGAGTCCCAGTACATAGCAGATATTACTGTTTATAGTTGTTCTCTTTGACGTTTCACCGGGCTCAGTAACAAAAGCCCACAGTGTCGATCACACCAGTTTGTGGATTACCGTCGGCGCGTTTCATCTGTGTGATAAAGAATCCAGCGATCAGGTCACCTCCACCCGACGGTAGTTTACGAGATTCCACGAGAATCTATGAGGTGTTATTCAGCGGAGGAACCGCAATAAAATGGTCGATCGCATCCGATTTGTAAATCGGCGAGGGCATGCGTATGCGAGGGAAAGTGTGATATAGATGTTTATGTATTTAACGGGGAATGGATCAAAGGGGGACCGATGGAGGTGTGAATACGCGGATTTTAGCACGAGATTGATAACAATGATATGGGGATCAACTGTTAATGATGATGCGGCCTTGAGGTATTGATTGACCGTGAATATGTGTAATTTTTTTTTTGTTTTTTTTTCTTCGGATTTGTCTGATGAAAAAATTATAAATTGTATGGAGAACTGAGCGACAGTTCGATTTATTAATTATTTGATGGTGAACGTTAGTGGGGAATA